GGTGGTGTTCCAGCCCTTTACACCCGGGAAGGCCACTCCAGGCAGCTCAACAGTCCCCAGTATTACTCCACCTCCCCGGAGGGATATTTAAACAGCAAGAAACATCCTAATGAATCCAGAGATGAATTTACTTCCCTTTCTGATGCACCCAAAACTTTCTTGTTTAAATTAGGGTGTGTCTTGCACATGGACAAACCACTAGCACCTATTTGGGGGCAACTTTCTATGTAACGAAGCCTTGTTAGCCTTTATCTTGCTCACAGTCCCTGTCCTCCATCTGCAAAGTCAGAGTGCAAAACGCAGGGCTAAGTCCAGTCTTTGATTATCACAAAAGATGTGACAAAATCAACAAATGCTGATGAGCCAATCCTCTGATAATGGGAGCAGAAAGATAGAAAAGCTAGATCTGGGCCCAAAACCAAGTCAACCATTTGCATGACAATTTTAAAGACAGAGAAAGGTCTAGAAGATGATTTGCTTTGCAGAGTTATGAAGACATGAATTTTCATTTTGCCTTGGCCACTCATAATTATTTTTTTTTAAACTAACAAAGAACAGGCAAGATATGGATCCATTATAAGAAGGAGAGCAAATATGGAATCAATCATTGCTGCAAGAGCTCAGAAATTACTGTCTAATAATGAAACAATTTGAAGAGAGAAAAATCTGAAAACATTTAGAGGGACAATGAAGTCATAAGCAATAAGGAGAAAGATTTGTGAATATCAAACCCTGCCAAGTCCAAAGGCCCCCCACCCCAACACCACCAGGATTTCAAAATCATTAGAGGGAATAAATGTTGTAGAAAGCCACCTCACATTTTGGGAAGGCAATTGATAATGAGAATAGGAAAGAATGGCAGCAATCTTTAAATCTAGAAGGGAATTTTGAGAGCATCTAGTCTAACTGTCCAATGTAATAGATGAAGAAGGGGTTAAGGGGTTCGTCCTTGTTCGGATTGCTTTCCAGCTGCCCCCACAGAGTCCTGCTTGCTGCCCTGCACCCTGCTGTGGTTCATACGCAGTGGGAACAAACCTGAACTGAAGTATTTGGATTATACATACAAGGACAAAATAATATTCGCAATGTCCAGGAGCTGTGAACCACCTCCTCCAAAGTTTATAATGTCAAAAAAGAAAGAGGGATAATAAGTCTTCACACCTGATGGCATCAATGGAGACTGGGCCCTGATCACAGCATAAAACCCAGAGCACTCATTCCTTCTCCCATCCCATTAAGCCAGGAGGGGCGCTACCAGCAGGAATTTTCTAGGGAGATGATGTGTGCGCTTTCACCGAGGACATTTCTTATCCTTCAAAAATGATTTAGGTGAAATAGAGACCCAGCACTCTATAGTCCTAAGATTCTAAGAAAGACATTTTATTGGCACTTACCATGTATAGGTCTTTAACCATATATTATGGAATTACCGAGTATAAACCAAAGGCAGACTAGCATAATAAACCTCTGTGTACCCATCACTCAGGCTCAACAATATCAATTCAGAGTCAATCTTACTTCGTCAGTACTTCTACTTACCTCCCCCCTTCCTTGTTGTTCCAAAGCCAAGCCCAGATGATACCACGTGACTTCATCTATAACTATTTTAGCAAATATTTCTAAAAGATGGGTACTTTGAAAAATGATCATAATGCAATTGCCAAACACCTAAGAAAATAAACAGTAGTTAAATAATATCATGAAATGCCCAGACACTATTCAGATTTCCATGAATTCATGAAATATGATCTGACAGTTTGTTTAAACTGGCAGCAAAATATGGTCCTTTTTCTCTCAAGTCTCTTTTAATGTAGAGTTACACCCCCTTGCCTGCCTTTCTACTAAAGCATTGTAGTTACTTTAAACCTCCACACCTGGATGTTGAAAATGAAATAAAAATTCAAGGGATCTGTGTGTTTTTAAAATGTTATAAATACTGTATTTACAAGTACTTTTATTCACTTTTGTTATCCAACATTTTTTTTAGATTTAACCACATTGCTACATTATGTGTAGCTTTTTTCTTTTGACAGATGTATAATATTCTGTTGTTTGAATGTATCACAACTGATTGATTATCCCTTTAACATTTAGATTGTTTTCAGTCTTCTGAGCTTCAAGGAATATCCTTATAGGTTCTCGGCCTCCTGCTATAAATGGGTAAAGGAGGCAGCCTGGACACAATCTCTGGGGCACTGAGCACTCCCATCTTCATTGCTAGTGCTCACTGCCCAGCTGCTCTCCAATATGAGGATAGGAGTTTCATTCCCACCAACCGTGTGCAAGGGTCCTCACTTCCTTACAGCATCACCAGCATTGGGTGGTTTCAGCCTGGTCATTTTTCCTAATATGGGTTCATGAATATGCAGTAAAAGTATAAATACGAGCGTGAGAAGGGGAGGGGAGGGGAGGAGACAGCAGGGGAGGGGAGGGATGGGGGAGGGGAGGGACGGAGAGGGCAGGGAAGGGGAGGGAAGAGAAGGGAGAAAGGAGCACTGACTTAGCTGAATCTATAATATTTTCTTTCCTTAAAAAAATAATGTATATATTGTGAAAGTTAACATTTGTTCAATGTGAATGGTGGGTGCAAAGGAGATGCTAATGATATTTTTAGTACTGTTTGGTACGTTTACACTACTCAGAATCAACTTATTTCATAATCACTTTCCAATGGAAAGGCTTAATAAAATATTATGCAGCATATAACAAATGACTGAATATGGTATTATCTACTGGGTTCCTTTTTTTGTTTGTTTTTTGGCACTTCATGCTAAAAAGAAAACCTGGCGAGAGACAAGCCAATGCTTGTATTTATCCCCAGTGACCTGCAGCTCATAGAGTTTTCCAGTCAAGGTTCACTCAGTCAAATATTGCCAGCTAATTGCCTAAAAATGTTTTACTTTTTACCTGTATGCTATATTATATATTACATAGCATTTTCTCCCCCCAAAGATGATATAAGCTAATGAAAAGGTAAAATGCAAATGCCATCTGTATTTGGAAGAATGCCCCAGGTTTTGTGGAGTACCTCTGACTCCTTCTCATTTACACACCAACTGTGTGGACAAGGTAAATTGCCCGGCTGGGACATGGAGGCTTGCTAGCTCTTCCTGTCACTCTATTTGCAGTGGTTGCTTTAAATTCCAAACTAGATCTCTTTTAGAGAAGACTGTGATTCTAAGGCAGCAATGATTAGTGTGATTCATCAGTCCAAAAACAATTTTTAAATGCCATCCATGGGCAAGGCACCATGCCATGCTCTGTGAGGGACAAAAAGATGGACAAAAATTGATCCCCGCGTCTGAGAACTTACAATCGAGCAACCTTTTTCTTTCACAACACTAACTACAAACATTTTATTTTTGTACTCAGAAGCTCACTCTGCCTTTGTTCTATTTTGATCTTTATAACTTATTTTAAAAATTGTTCAGTAGTTATTCATTGCTCAGTAAGTCTTACAATGACCTTGGGCCAAAAGCAGTAACATTTTGACCTGTCCTGTGGAACTGAGAGCTTCCCACTCCATAAAGCCAGTGGCATAAATAACTTCAAATAATCCCCTCCTGGAGTTCTGTGTCAGGCACGGCATGAGAGAGAAAAGGGGTAAAGCAGGGAAAGGAATAAAGTGGGAGTGCCCCAGAATAAGCGAGAGTGGTATCCTTGTTTTCAGCACTTTTGTTCCTCATTTCCCTTAAGATATGTATTCCGCCTCTCTCCTGGCTGAAAAAACATGGAATAACACAGCAAACCGTAACACATTTCCTGTCGGTCTCGTAATGTTTGGTAGGGTCAGCATCTTCTCCATGGGTGTCTCTGGGGTTGAGCATTTAGGGTGTATCACGGCAGCAAAAAACTAAGTGAGGACACACTTCTTGAGTTCACGAAAAGGGAGGGGCCAGTGTGAAGGTGGGGCAGCAGAGTATGTGCGAGTGCCCGTGTGTGTGTGTGCACGCACATGAGCGCACGCACGCGCATACCCATGGATGTACACGTGTGCCTGCTCATGAACAGCACAGGGAGGAAAAATGACCTAAAGGAGGAAAGGTCTGCTACGTCTTGAAGTCATTCACACTTCACAGTGTCTGAACTTGCAAAAGAAGGGGTTCTGAAGGCTGGTTAGTGGTGGTGGCAGTAAGGACTTCTGGACTCCTTGACTCCTGCAATACAGGTGCATCTGTCCAGCAGGATATGAAAAGAGCTCTTTGCAAACAACAAACAGCCGAGTAGTGGGAGTGCGAATGACTCAGAAACACCTGGCTGATCTCCCTCGAGGTGTCCAGAGGATGAACTGGTTAGGAAGGAGTTGGTCATTGGACACTATCAGGCAGCTTCACATGCAGAACGTTGGGGGCAAAAATTAGAGAAATGTTGTCATCCCAAATAGAGTGTCCCAGAAAATAATCCCCCCTTCTGTGGAGGAGGGTTAGAAGTAAATAGGTTCACCTACATACATACTCCCCATGAGGTTAAGGTATGTCTTTTTTGAGGTTGATAGTACGTAGGAATGATCCAGATTGCTTGTTTTAAAGGACTGTTGGCCATTTTTTTCATTCAACATCTTCTACAAAAAGAGAAAGCATAGCCTAATCCTAAATTCAATCAGATCAAATGTCAAAAGGCTGAATAAAAAACAAAAGTTATAATAGGGAAAGGTCATGGGAACATTGATTCTGACCTTGACCCCCAGGGTAGAGCTTCCTACAAGGTAGGAGCTTTGGTTTCTAAGTCTTAAAAATGGGAACAAGAATATTTCACAGAATTGTTGTGGAGATTGAAATGGTATAAATAGGAATGCCGTGTCCACAGAAGATACTTAACCGGTGTTTATTTTTATTATTTTCCATTTTCGTAAAGAGAAAGGAAGACTAGATACCGGGTCACATCCTCAGCATTGCTTCTCCAGAATCTTCACAGCCCAATACAGTGCCAGTTGCCACTGCCGAGGCTGGGTTTGGGGCAGCTTGCCTCCCGTGCTCAGTCTTCTCTTTCCTCTCCCACAGCCAACTCCTCCCTGAAGAAGCGATTCAAGCGGCGGGAGATCGAGGCCATCCAGTGCGAGGTGCGCAAGATGTGCAACTACACCAAGATCCTGTCCACCAAGAAGAACCTGGACCACGTGAACAAGATCCTGAAGGCCAAGCGGCTGCAGAGACAATCAAAGACAGGCAACAACTTCGTCAAGAAGAGGAGAGGGCGTCCCCGGAAGCAGCCCAGCCAGTTCGACGAGGACTCCAGAGACCAAATGCCGGTGCTGGAAAAATGCATCGACCTTCCCAGCAAGAGGGGGCAGAAGCCGAGCCTGAGCCCGCTCGTCTTGGAGCCAGCGGCCACCCAAGACACCATCATGGCCACCATCGAGGCGGTCATCCACATGGCCCGGGAGGCGCCGCCCCTGCCCCCGCCGCCGCCGCCGCCCCTCCCGCCCCCGCCCCCGCCCCCGCCGCCGCCGCCCCCGCCCCTGCCCAAGACCCCCCGAGGAGGAGGGAAGAGGAGACACAAACCCCAGCCTCCCGCCCAGCCCCCGCAGCAGCCGCCCCCGCAGCAGGCCCTGCCCCAGGAAGAGGAGGTGAAGGCCAAAAGGCAGAGGAAGTCCCGAGGGAGTGAGAGCGACGGCCTTCCCTAGGGGGGGTCTGGGCGTCTGGACCTGGGGCCGGGGAACTGACACATTGGGGAGTGCAGGGAGCCGGGCTGGGGGCGGAATCCCACGCTGCAGGGACACCGATGCCCCTCTCTCCTGAAGCTGGGCAGGCACAATCGAGCCCGATGACGGGGTGGATCCATCAGTAGCTCTTGGGAAAGCAAAGCAGGGGGACGCCGTCAAAAGAAGCTTGTCTGTGCTTTACAGCAGTTGCAAACCACGCGGCACTTCAGTATGGCTCGATGCTTTGCAGGCGAGCAGAAGACCCACGGAGGAGGAGAAAGAGCCGGTGGTGCTCTCTGACAGCCACCTGACCTCCTGCATCCAAGGTGCGTCTCTGATTCCATTGCATTTGCTGGCCAGGAAAATTGAAAGGGAAGCACCCTCAATTAGGAAACATTCCAAGGGGAGAAAAGCTGCAGATTTCTCGACTGGCTTTGTTGTAACCCATTTCCATTTCATTGGTTTTTTACTTTTATTTTGGTTTTTCCAAGCTCGGCTAGGCTTTGGGGCACCCACATCATCTTCAGGTGACCTGAATCTTTCCGTTAACCATACAGTTTCTCAGATGGATTCGTCATCAGAAGGTGGAATTCTAGTGATAGGCAACCTTAGACACGCATTCATATTCTTCCGTTCGCCTCCTCTGTACCACACGCTGAGATTTAGCGTAGTCAGTTCCTAGTTTTCCTTTTGCCCGTTGTACTTCCATATACCTTTTCATTAACTTACTTGCTGCCTTCTTTTCCTTGGTACACGCCTAAATAACGTAAACTTTATGTGTGTTGTAATGTTCACCCTTGGCATGCTGTCCCAAGGAACTTGGCTTTGAATCCCAATCATTGTGAGACAGATACTCAGTATTGATAGAGCCTTTTTAGTAAGTGATTTAGAGCAGCCGAGGATATGTTGGCCGGGGTGTCAACCAGGTTATTTTTATACTTAAAACATATCAGCAGAGAATAGGCAGAATAAAATGGTTTTAATAAACCCACAGCAAATGGAATAACTGACAGATCACCAAAAATTGAAACCCCAGACCCACCAGAAAGACAAATGTCTAGCAATGCCTTGGTATGTGAATTTTCATACAAGTAACTATCATAATAGGTCGTTGAAAAAAGGAAACAAAAAGACAATAGAATAAGTCCATTATCTCTTGATGATTATTTCTTAAAAGCAAATGGGAGTAAGTGTTCTTATCTGGAAAAAAAAAAAAAGAAAAAATGCTCAAAGGGTATCACCACTCCAATTGTATGAAGCCACCTTGGACAAAGTATCCAAATTGTGGTTGCCTTAATAAACTAAAACATTTTTGTACATAATGTAATTATAAATCTATCAGTCTGCATGGATGCAAACTGTGTGTGACAAATCGTCTTTTAAATGGTCAATTTCAACTGTACATTTCTCATCCAAGTTGTACTCTAGCCATCGGTTTAGCGTGGACAGATATTCCATCTCTATCACCCATTTCCACAGCTCAAGTAAAACATGTTAAGAAGACTCAGAATGAATATGAAGTTACTCCATTGCCGTAGATGTTTTCTAAAAGTCAGATGTGGAAATTTCAAATAAGTATTTTCAATTTCCTCCCTTCCTCCTCCCCTAACCTTCCCCAAGACATCAAACACCTGGCATGGTAGATTATAAAAAGAGAGACACTGAGAGACAGAATTCAGTTTTCTAATGGGAATTAGAGTATCTGGTTTACCTCCAAATTAAGTTTCTTTACAGGAAGTTGGGACTGGCTGGAAATTGTATTATCACTTCAGAACACAACACTGTTTCCTTAGAGATGGATTTTTGTTGGGAACACAGGAGAATAAGGGATGGGGTATCTATGAAAGTAAATTTAAAAATCCCAAGTTAATATGCTTGCGAACATCATTGCTTTGTCATTGCACCAACAATTGATTGAAATTACTCACACTATTCTGCACTGTCACCTTGGACTTAACATCATTTGCTCCCCACTAGGTCAGTCACATTTAATCCTAGCAATATGTAAGTTTAAAGGGATGCATTCTCCTGTACTTGAAAGCTTATATCATAGATACTCTATTTGTGACCTAGGTGGACCTTTGGCATTTCACACAAGTTGAACAGCAAAATCAAACCAGCCACTTTCAATTTGTCATTCCCAAGCCATGTCTGAGTGGTTCTAAAGTCACCGGAGAGGAAGATTTAAATTAGCCCCGCTCACCCCACCATTGCTATGAAAGAGCAACCATTTTCATTCCAATTAAACCATAAAGGGGGTTCTCTCCTGTCAGACTTTGAAAAATCAGTTCCTTCATTCTTTCTTTTGCCCCTCTTACTTCTGCTGTTGTTGTACTATTTCCCCAACCGAGACTGTGAGTAGACTAAATCATCCTGCAGACAGGAATGAGCTGCCACTCTCTAAGCTTCTTAAAGAAAGACCCAACCCCTAATTGACATTAACATCTCTAGTTGGAGAGAAATTTCAGATAACTTAAGGATGCATTAGAATTTCCAGACCGAGGTAAAGTATTCCTGGAGGGATACAGCGGGCTTGTAACTTATTCGTAAATTCAGTTCTACAGTTGTCATGTGAGTTAAATGCAAATCCTCCACGCTTATGGCCCTAAGAATAGATGAGGAAACTGCAGAGGACCCAGGGTGAGACATGCTGAACAGCCCGTGGAAGGTGGAAGCAAGTCCGGCACCTACAAGCTTCCTCTTTCCCCTGCCCAGCTCCCCTTCAATGTCATGTGATATTTTCCTTTTCCTTCTACCTTCCATTAAATTAACTCATCTCATTGGTACAACCATTTCCTTGTTCTCTAAGTAATCCCTTCCCATTAGCCTCTCCTCTCCTGTCCAGGCTCAACATTGGGCCAGTCTAGTTTCACCTCTCATTAGCTGCAGACCCAGGATGAGAACCCCAGCCATCCTGACCCGGACCGGGGAGACTCTAGCCAGTCAACACTGCCTTCTGGGGCTGCATTTTTGTTTAGAGAAGATGTCATTTGGGATGCACGGGACTCCATAAAACACCGCCACAAATTATTTCATTAGAAATCTCTTGGTGGTGGTGGTTTTTTGTTTTGTTTTGTTTTCTGGAATACTTTCCTTCCACAAGCAGGCGTGAACCCACTTACAGGGAGTCTGATTAGGGGTGAGCAAAGGATGAAACTGAGATGTAAAAGCCTCCTTGTAGGTGATGATGGGTCTCTGATCCACCTTCCTAAGTGGTTGAGGAGCCACTTGCTTTTCAACCCCTCATCTCAAATGAAAGATACAAAAGTCGAACTTCCTCTAATAGCATGGCTCCGGCTACAACCCAAGGAAGATAGGTCAAAAGAAAGGAGAGCATGTCACGGGCTGGTTTGTGACTTGGCAGGACCGGGACCCAACAGCCACTGACAGCCCGGAGTAGGTGACTAAGGGCTGACAGAGGATTAGCATGTTAACTTGGCTGCTGTCTGGAGTGGGAGGCCACGTTCTGTGGCAGCCGGAATTTGTGTTCTGCACATTGCTGGCTCTATAAATATGATAAGCAAGTGGTGACAGAATTATAGTATAAGGTGATGTACTACATGCAGATCCTAAAGGATTTGGTTTTAGTACTTTAGTAGAAAAATCCCACTCCTACAGCTTATTACCCAACAATATTCAGATAATGAGTTTTTGGAGAATATTTTTTTCCCTACCACTAGGAAGATTTACCTGGGAACTGTCTAAAGTCTATACATATATTTCCAAAGCCTTTAAATGCCAACTGTAGCATGGAGAGAGATGGGGTGGCAGAAGCCGAAATGCCTCAAAAGCCATTTAAGTGTTACATTGCAGGATTTTCAGTCCTTCTCATCATGTAAAAGCAGATAAATATAGACATTATTCTCAACACTACCCTCTAGTATCACAATGGTCCAAATGCCAGAGCTTACAGATAATGTCATCACAGTGCCTAGAAACTCGAACTGTAATATACCGTAGCATTTTCTTGGTGTTTTTTAAAGTTTCTTTCCACAATACAAGGCTCCCTCTGCTTCTTGTTTCTTGGAGAGTTTGCCCCACTGATGAGTCTTCCCTCCCGTGGGACTCGGTCATTTGGGGAACAGTCTTAGAAGCACATATCAACCAAGGAAGAAACTTCCTGGATATCGATTGCCCACTTCCCCAGGTATAATAAACACTACAGGGGGGGAAGGATTGAGAAGAGCTGCCACCGGTCAACACAGAAGGGCAGTTCCAACCTAGGCTGGTGTCTTTCTTTTCTTCCTTTTTTAAAAAATCTATTTCTTAAATAATAATAAATGCACATGATGTGTTAAATATGTATATATATATTTCAAAAGAAAAAATGGGGCACAAGATTGTCTTATAAGTCGTGCTGGCTAATTTTTAGTTTGTATTCATAAGTGGTTTTTAAAAGCCTTTTTTAAAGTGTAATTTGCATGTTCTACTTTGATTGTATGTAAACATATTTTAGAACAAAAAATGTATTTGTATTTTATTGAATATAGAGGCAAGAAAATTGTACATTGTTTGAAATGTTCTTTTTGTAACAGTTTTTATTCATAAAGCATTTTTGTACATTTAAAATGAACACGGACTTGCTGTTATTTGAGGCGTAGATACATCTGGCATGCTTTACTGTCATGCTCCTCCATGGTCTTAGATGTTGGGTTTTAAACATTTTTTCTAAAAGAAAGCTCAGTCTTTTTCGCTACCAGATCAGGTTAGCACAGTATAGAGCACTTAACTATTAAAAAAAAAAAAAGTTAATCCTATTCATATGTTATTCATTGTGTGAAATTAAAGACATTCAATTCAGTCTAACATGAGTTGTGAATTCTTTTGTTTTATTTTCCATCTGGTTCACATCACTAAGGAGTTTAAGAGTATTTGGGGGGTCTTTGCTCACACAAACTGGATATAGAATCATTGAGAAAATTCTAACCAAACTTCTGCCTCTTGTATGAATCTGGGAAGTACATTTGGGGCAAGATTTGAGTCTGATTTACTGGGTTACTGTTCAGAATATATTACACCTGGACGTAAAGCCAATGGCTGATTCAAAGAACCAGTCAGGCCTCTGCTGAAAGCAATCAAAGTTTGTTGTATAATGTTGGAGACCTATCCTGTCCTAAATTTTTAGAACATTATGGATGGGGATTAAACTTTCTTACCAAATATCCCGTGATGTCAGATATCTGAAGGATAGATCCCTGGCTGGATTTAAAGTTTGGAGTGGTAGGAAAGGCTAGTTAATCAACCACAGACAGTTATAGATCACCTAGCCAAAGTCTACCAGTCTGAACAAGACCCTTGAGGACAAGGGCCAGGAGTAAGAAGTCCTTGTTCTGAAGGAACTTACAAGGCCTTAGTGTGAAAAACCAACTCGCAGTTCTAAGTGAAATGTGGCAAGTGGTAAGAGTGATGGGGTCTCAGAAGAAGCAGGGAGCCCCCAGGCTGGTCCTTTCTTCTCTTCCCACTCTGTTCCAATTTTGCGTTTAGAGTTAAAGTTGGTTTTTTTTAAAGCCCTATTAAAGTAGTATTTGTACATTCTACTTGGAGAGTATGTAAACATACATACATTTATGTATTTTTCATTTTCCTTCTTTATCTAACCTGAAGTACCACTTTCAAAAGCCAACATGGTACGTAGGAAATCTCGTGAGCAGCTTTCATCCCCTACTATCAATCGGACCTGCTGTGACATTTATTAGGACTCTGGGTATTTGCAGCACCCACAGTGGAATAACAGAAGTCTGGTGGAATGGATGGAAGTCGTCAGAGTAGGCTATCAGGGCAGCCTCAGGATGGTCAGGCACTGGCGCTTTAGGTAGCCTCCTGGGACTCAGAGAATTTAGTCAGCAACTTCTAACAAAGTAGAATTGCCCTCCTTTCCCTCCCTGCTCACTATCTTGCACTGAACCAGGAAAATGTAAAGCCTTATATAGTCCTCTTTCCAACTCGGGTTCATTAGACTGGTGGTATTTCTGAACTCAGCAGTGACTTCCCAGAGTGCCCCTAATCTCTTCCCACCAGCAGGGACAAAGCTGTTGCCTTGGAATGGATTGGCCCATCTTCTGGGGGTTTTAATCAGTCCACAGAGTGGCAATGTGCTGACAAAGATTCTTGGGAAAGTCGGATGTGTTCACATGTGGGGCTGGTATGAATCTCAGTCTACAAATAGGTGGGTAGAAGGAATAGATATCGTTAAATTTCTCTGCAACTCAACATTATTAATTTTTAAGCCCCCATTCCACCAGCATAGCAGAATCTTAGTTCCAGACCTAGGGGTCCTATTTCTAACCTAGAGGGGAAACCTTGCTCCTACTTCCTTCCAAATTGTTTCCCTGTGCCCCAGTCCTTTCTACTTCTCTAGTTTTCTAGGCATTTGAAATGGAAAAGCCAGGGGAGGAAAAAAAAGTCTTTAATTCTTTTCCCCCCTGCTTTCTGCTGTCAGATACATGCCCTGAGGAGATGAGCACAAACCAGCCTCGCTGCCTGTACTGGGGGGAGGACACCAGCGGCACAGTGGGCATATTGGAAATAATTACGACTTCAAAATTTTAACCTGTCACACACGTGATAGGGAGTGAAGACAATAGGATATGAAAAGCTAAAGGATTGGCCCAAGGTCACAGGGCTCTTTATAGGTTAGATGAGATAATGACCGGGGGTGCAAAAGGAATCGGGAAGGGGGCAAACTGGGGTGTGCGTCTCCACTGTTACCAGTAACACTTTCACTTTTATGGGAAATGCCCACACCCAGGGTTTTATTTGTTACACAGCGGTGGCAGTGAACTTCCTAAAGTGTCATGAGGGCTTTTGTTTCCAGAATTAATTAGAGGGAAAACTGCTTCCAAGTCTTACTGACATTTATCTATGCTAAATTGGAAAGTAACAAATTAGAAATAGTAAAACCTCAAAAGGGTTCGAAACCACACATCTTCTCTCCTTACTAAGCTTGATATTTTAAAATGTAATTCTCCCGTTTTTAGTGGACAGAGCAGTAAAATAAGAATCGAGAGACTTGGGATGTATTTCTGCTTGGTCACTAAAAGAATTCTGTGCCCAGGTGCCAAACTTACTGGAGTCTCCCTTGCTTACTCTCAAATGGGAGGTTAAACTCTCAAGGATATCTGCAAGTCTAAAGTCTCCAATGCCGTCATTTTGCGCCTCCCAAACAGGTCCCACATTGAGTTTCCATTTTTATCCCCCACCATTGTGTAAAGCCAATGACAAGTTGGGGTTGTCACCTCAACATAGTCTATCCTATCCTAATCTGATCAAAGGATGTGAGGGTATGGAAGATCAGTGGGGAAAAAAACAGAATCATATATATATATATATATATATATATATATATATATATATAATCAAGTTTTTCCTTCCTTTTTTCCTTATTTCCTTCCCTATCTGCACATTGCCAAGTACCAAACAATGTAAGGAAGAACAAGGAAGACAAAAATCTCACTGAGCTTTATGCAAGCAAATCCAGATCATGAACTCCCTGCTCCCATTCTCTACCTGTCCAACTTCTCCATGTCTTTTAAAGTTCAATTCAAACCCCACCTCCTCTGGGAAGTTTCATGTCCACAACCCACAAATTCTCAAACCACTCTTTTGGTTACTGTTCTTAATAATACCCCAGGTGACAGAGTATAATCCTCAGCCAGGGCGACCATGTCCAGTTGTGGAGGTTGTGCCCTGCACAAGCAGACCTGGCTGAGAAAGAAAGTAGGAGCTGAAATCCAGCCTGCACAGTCTTTGTCAAGCCATGCATCCTTGCTGTGGCATCTTCACCAGGTAGGCATCTTTTTCTCATTCTCACAAAAGTGATTTTGTGAGAACAAAGCTTAAAATAAAATTTGAGATCTGTGCATCTCTGGAAGGTAGAGATGATCTTTGCTGTTGCTTCTCACCTTGCCCCTGAGATCCCCAAGACCCGTCTCCCAAGATTTCCCTTGCGGCGTTCATTAATACTACTCCAGAAGACCCTAAATCCATCCCCAAACTAAACAACTGGAAGAAAACAATGAAACCAGACGTAATGGTTCATTTTATGTGTCAGCCTGACTGGCCACAGGTTGCCCAGATGAAACAACTGCTTCTGAGTGTGTCTGTGAGGGTGTTTGCAGGTGAGATTAGTTTGAACCAGTAGACTGAGTTAAATGGATTGCCCTCCCGGTGTGGCTGGGCCTCATCTGGTGCCGTGAGGTCCTGGATAGAACAAGAGGAAGGAGGAATTCACCTCTCCTTTTGTGCCTCACTGCTGAGATGGCCTCTCAGTGCACATCTCATCTTCTGCCCTCTGACTGGGATTCACGCCGTCAGCTCCCCGGGTTCTCAGGCCTTGGAGTGTGGACTGAAGGACACCATGGGCTTTTTTGGGCCTCCAGCTTGCAGACGGCCGACTGTGGGACTTCCTGGCCTCCATTACCAAGTGAGCCAATTCCTATAAAAAATCAACCTCTCTCTTTCTCTCTCTCTGTCTGTATAGAAGTATAATCTTATTGGTTCTGTTCCTCCTCTGGAGAATCCTAACACAACCAGACACCAGCCTGTGCAAACATGTCAGGTAGTGTCAGAGTCCCATCCCCATGAATATAACTTGCTAAGCTAGTGGACATCTGATGTCTCAGAAGGTCTCCAATATTCCAAAGACTTTGGGAACTTTGATTTTGAAATAATTACAGCTTCCCGGGAGGATGCTCAGGAATACACACAGAAGTCCAGGGCAACCGTCTCCGAACTGCCTCCCCCACCCCACGTCAACATCCCATACAACCACAGTACAATAACGAAACCAAGACATTGACATTGGCACAGTTCACAGAGCGTATTACCAGTTATACATGAACTCGTGTGTGTGCGCGCACATAGATCTATGCAGCTTTGTCACATGGACGGCCCAGTGTAAACACCGCCCCCATCAGTCAGTATACCATCACCACAAAGATTGCCCTCTGCTGACCGCTCCGCTCCCTCCCTCCCCGCCCTAATCCCTGGCAACCACTAACATGTGCTCCAGCTCAACAACTGTCTTATTTCAAGAATGTTACGTAAATGGAATTGTGCAATATGTAGCCTTTTTAAAATAAAGTCTATTTTTAGAATAGTTTTAGATTTACGAAAAGTTGTGAAGATAGTTCCTATAGACCCTGTATTAAGGCCAGTTTCCCTTATCAGTAACGCCCTACAGTATAGTGTGTCACAATTAATGAAACAAATGATTACATTATTATTAACGATATATTATTCAGATGTCTGTAATTTTTAGCTCACATCCTTTTTTTATGTTCTGGAATCCCTTCCAGGAGACCACATTACATTTAGTCATGTCTCCTTAGGCTCCTCTTAGCTGCGACAGGTTCTCAGACTTCCCTTGTTTTTAATAACCTTGATCATTTTGAGGGGTATTGGCTCATGTATGTTCCTCAGTTGAGTGAGACTGGGGTCATATGTTCTTGAGAGATGACCACAGAGGTAAAGTGTACATACTATCAAGACTCATCACTGCTGATTTTAACCCTGACCACCTGGCTGGCAAGTTGCTTTCACCCCTCTCCCCCCACTTTCTCATACTTTGTTCTTTGGAAGGAAAGAACTACAGAACCCACACTTAAGAAATGGAGAGTTACGCTTCTCTCCTTCGGGACTGCGTATCTATATAAATTACTTGAAATCCTTACGCACAGAAGAGTGGGGGTTTTTTTTATCCTTTTTTTTTTTTAAAAAGATTTTATTTATTTATTTGACAGAGAGAGACAGCGAGAGAGGGAACACAAGTAGGGGAAGTGGGAGAAGGAGAAGCAGGCTTCCCGCTG